TGCGTATATCGAGAGTGCCATTAAAGGCATGGGGTGAGAGGTGTTTTCAGAAGATAGGTGAGACAATCGGAGAAGTTCTAATGATCCATGAGGACACAAAGAATAAATCAATCTTATGGGATGGGAGAGTATTGATTTTATGCACAGAGTCTAGGAGAATTGCAAAAAGAATCAAATTGAAGGTAGGAGATCAGCTGTATGAAATAGAGATAGCAGAGGAGGAGTGGCGGTTAGATCCGGACTGGTGGTTGACGGAGAATGATTGGAATAATGATCAGAAAATGGAGTCCGATGATTTCTCGGTAGCGTGGAGTCAGAATGAAGACCCGGAAATGGGTGTGGATGTGATTTGTGATGGCGATGATGTGAGGTCTGATTCAGTGCATTTAATGAAAGATTTGGATTTAAATTCGAATTTGTTGATTGCAACGGGAAAGGAAAGCTAGAAACAAAGTGAAACAGAGAGGGAGTTTGAAGGGGATGAAAGATATGGGCGGGTTAAGGAACATGGGCTCCAAAGTTTGAGTTCTATTGGGCCTGGAAATAGGAGTGGGCCGAATAAAAACAACAACCATGGACAGACAAAAGAAATGAACATAGAAGGGCCTATATTAATCACCCAAAACCCAGAAGCTGCATCAGATTCGCAGAAAATAGAAAACAGAGCTTCAAAGAGCAAAAAGCAACGACTTATCCAAGATTGTTACCCAGAAAGCATGGAGGAGATTTGGGCGAAGGGGACTCCGCTGGTAACACCTAGAACAAGTCTGAGACAGTCACGAAGGGTGGGTGACCGAAAAGCAAGGGAAGACAAGGTACGCTTAGAGGGTAGTATGTCTATTTCGGATGGGGATATTGTAAATAGAAATAGGGTGATTCAAAGGAAGATGAATTTGTATGAGGTGCGCCGGATGATGAGGGTGGGAAAGAGGTTGGGTATCCAATTTGAAGATGATGATGAGGAATTACAATATAGGTTGATAGAGGCAGAGGATCGAGAAAAGGTAGGGAGGAGAGACGGGTTGGGGGTATAGGAAAGGGTGTGAGGGGTGAAGTTGTGCGTTTATCTTTGATTAAGTGAAGATTATTTCCTTTAATGTGAGGGGTTTGGGTGGGACGGTGAAGAGGAAGGAAGTGGGTAAGCTGGTTAGGGAGGAAAGGCCAGACTTTCTATTCTTGCAGGAAACAAAATTA